CGATGGAAGCACTTGTTGAGCACTTCAACCCGTACTTGCAAGACTGGATGGAATTCGACAACTTGCAAAAAGAGCATGAAGATAATCCAAAGGACGACATCATCACTGAGAAGGCAGCCAAGCAGATGTTCACCATAGAAAACTTTGTTCGGGTTTTGGAATCGCTGAAGACAAGTTCTTGTGGGGAACGGTTGAAGGACATAATTGTGGAGAAGGGAATTACAGATACTGCTGTTAGGCATTTGAGGGAAAGCTTTGCTGTAGCAGGTCAGGCTGGTTTCAAATCTACTGCGGAGTGGGCATTGGGTCTAAAACTGCCATCTGTTCCTCTTATACTATCTATGCTGAGGGGATTGTCAATGGCGCATTTCGCAACCCAAAGGTGCATCGATGAGGGACGTATCTTACCACTGCTCCACACTCTAGAAGGAGTGTCTGGGGAAAACGAGATTGGGGCCAGGGCTGAGAACTTGTTGGATACACTGTCTAATAAGGAGGGGAAAGGCGATGGCTTCTTAGAAGAAAAGGTGCACGAGTTGCGTCGTGCCACCAAGGATGACATGAGGCGCCGAGCTCTGAGAAAGAGAGAGGAAATGCTTCAGGTACAGCTCAAGTTCACTCTGTTCTTCCCTAACTTTTATTAAGTTTTACAATATATTCCTTCAAAATAATTCACATGCCATACATTGTGTTCGCCTGTTTTTTCTTTCTGGTTTACTGTTGAGGTTCTACTAACACGCTCTTCTATTATGATATGCTCTCAAAACTAAAGGGGCTTGGAATGAGGCAAGAACTGTCTTCAGACGGTGGCGAGAGAATAGTTGTCGCAAGGCCTAACCTAGAAGGTCTGGAAGACGTGGAGGAAGAAGCAGATGGCTTGGCATGCATGGTATGTCGAGAAGGCTACAGCTTGAGGCCGAGCGACTTGCTGGGCGTTTACACATTCAGCAAGAGGGTGAATCTTGGTGCTGGGACTTCAGGAAGTGCTCGTGGTGAATGTGTTTACACTACTGTCAGTTATTTCAACATTATTCATTTCCAGTGCCATCAGGAAGCGAAAAGAGCAGATGCTGCATTGAAAAATCCCAAGAAAGAGTGGGAGGGAGCTACACTCAGAAACAATGAGTCCCTCTGCAACTCCTTGTTCCCGATTAGAGGTCCACTTGTTCCATTATCGCAGTATGCCCGTTACGTGGACCAGTTCTGGGACAACCTTAATGCCCTTGGACGAGCTGATGGGAGCCGGCTTCGACTACTAACTTACGATGTTGTGCTGGTAAGGCTTCCCCCCTGAACTTTTTGTTCTTGTGTTTCCCAGTTACCCACATTTTTCTTTCTTTAGTCTATCAACAGGGTCATTGTTTTTCCCCTTTTTTTGTGCTTTTCCTTAATGGAGTCCTTCCTCTCTCTCTGTTTGCACAGATGCTTGCCCGATTCGCAACTGGAGCATCTTTCAGTGCAGAAAGCAGGGGTGGAGGGAGGGAAAGCAACTCGCGTTTCCTACTCTTCATGGTCCAAATGGCGCATTACCTCTTCGAACAAGGAAGCTCATCCCAGCGTCGGAACATGGCGAAAACCATCTCTTCATATATAACTTCCTCTCCTTCAGACTCAAAATCCTCTGTTCTTGCCGCAGCACATCCTGTCATGGGAACAGAAGAGACCGTGCAGTTCATGATGGTCAACTCCCTCCTCTCGGAATCCTACGAGTCCTGGCTGCAACACCGCTGTGCCTTCTTGCAGCGTGGAATTTACCATGCGTACATGCAGCACACCCACGGGCGATCATCCACATCCCGTACATCGAAAGAAGCAAGTACCAGCATGGCATCAGGCCAAGACAAGCCCGACGAGCTGCTGTCCATCGTTCGGCCTATGCTGGTCTACACGGGGTTGATAGAGCAGATGCAACGGTTCTTCAAGGTGGTGAAGAAAGGGTCGTCGAGCGGGCCATCAGACAGGAGCGGAGAGGACAGTGGCGAAAACATGGAAGCTTGGGAGTTGGTGATGAGAGAACGGCTGCTGAAAGTGAGAGAGATGCTAGGGTTCTCGAAAGAGCTGGTGTCTTGGTTGGAGGAGATGAACTCCGCCACCGATTTGCAGGAGGCGTTCGACATAATCGGGGTCCTGCCCGACGTGTTGTCTGGTGGGATTGTGAGATGTGAAGATTTTGTGCATGCTGCGATTGAGGCGGGAAAGAACTGAGTTGTGCCGAGGACGAGCATCAACTGTATTCGTTTGAGAGCTACTAGAGGAGTGGGGAAGGATCGTCCCTGGAATTCGAACTTGGATGCTCCAGGCTGAAAATCAGCGGCACGACCACTCGGCCACTGCCTCTTTCGCATGGTGCATTTTTGTCGACGTAACTCCAACCCGTGAATTGTATGTGTATACTGTATAGGGGCGCCATCAGCCATCTCAAGTTCACAAAAATGCAACAATGGCAATTACGTATTTTCGGAGAAAGTGGCTACTGGCCGTATCGTATCCGGAAAGCAAATGTATTTTGAGAAAAGGGGGAAAAAGAACGTTGTTATCCTAGAAATGGAATGGGAAAGTAATAACAAAGCGATCTTTCGGTGTGATCTTCTTCTACTTCGAGGTTTGGACCAACCTCTCTTTCTCTCTCTCTCTCTACACCAACCCGCAGGCCATAGCTGTCTCCGTCACTCCCCAGCAGCTACTCGCGACCATCCACCTTCATCTTGCCGGCGCGAGCTTCTCCGACCTCCACCGCCCGCTCAACCACTCGCTCCGTCCCACTCATCCTTGGCGGCGCCCGACTGCCACCGCAGTTGTTAGGAGAAAAGGTAACTTGTCGGTGATGATCTCTTAAATTCTCTGCGAAATCACTCTAGTCCTTTCCTCTGGCTCTCTCTTTAGTTCTCTGCTTTTGATGTCGTTTATTGATCAATTTCAGCTTCTCACTCGGAATATTGTCGATTGCTTTCTGGGTTTAGACATTTCTCTTTCCTTCGCTAGGACAGAGAACCGCTTCCGTGGTTTGCAGTTTTTCTCCAGTCGTTGTCTGTAGGAAGCTGAACGTTATCAGCTTGTTCTTTTGTGCTTGACGACTCATGGATATTGAGTTAGTTGTTTTTATCCAAGTCCGATGCTTTTTGCAGTCAAACTGTTCAGTTTTATTGGTAAAGCCTGTGGCTATTCTTTTCTTGCCTTGAGTTAGCACAAACTGACAACACATGATGCATCGTCTCTTTTAGACGCATATTTTGCTCCTCTTGATCAAGTTAATTTCATTCTGTAGTTTATTGGGCTTCCTATTTTGTTGAGTAGCTAGTAATGGTGCTGTTTAAAGAACCTTTCTCTTGGGAACTGAATGTGGAACAATTAAGCTAATTTGAAGTTCTGGGCACTTGGAATTAGGTTTCAGCTCTTGAACCTAGGTCTCGCGAATAGTAGCCTGAACTCGGACAGCATTCCAGGCCATCTGTCTTTGAGTTAAGAGGGCTTGTAACTCGAGTAAAGCTCTCAGCTGGGTGAATGAAAACATCTCAACTTGACAAAATTGCATCCATTCTCCTCCCTTCATAATCAACTCTTATTTTACATGGAAATCTCTCCTTGTTCTGTCTTTCTATTTTCTGACATTGTGTTTGGTAAGAAATGGAGTAGCTTTTTTTTTTTTTTTTTTTTTGAAGAAATGGAGTAGCTAGTAGACCTTACTTTTGTTTTCCCTTATTTTCTTCCTGTAAACTACTATTATGCCCTCTATTCTTGATGGGAAAAGAGATGCAACAAACAGCTCTTGTTCCCTGAGTAACTTGTTTATGTGATTTTTACTGCAGTAAGTCCATTGTGGTCCGAGGGTGTCTGCTTGAGAGACCATTGGATGTTTATCACCGCAATGGTGGATCTTGCGTGTCTCGTGTATAGCTCGTAAGCCATGGAAAGAGAAAGAGGAACACCCGTTGAGAAAGATATTTCTCCAATGGATATAAAAGGAACTTATGATGTTGAGCATATGAGTTTGAAATCCGGAATGGAGCACGAATCATGGCCTCTGGATGAGATTGATCCAAAGAAGGCAAAGTTTCCATGTTGTCTAGTTTGGACTCCATTCCCTGTCGTCTCATGGTTGGCACCTTTTATGGGACATGTCGGCATTTGCAGGGAGGATGGAGCTATTCTAGACTTCTCAGGTTCTAATTTTGTGAGTGTTGACAATTTTGCATATGGTGCTGCTGCCAGATACCTTCAACTAGATAGAGACCAGGCATGTTCTTCTTTCCTCTCCCTCATTTTCCATTTACACACTCAACACTGTTTTGTTTCAGCTTACTGGCCATGTTACTTACTGGCCATCTGTTCTTAATTTCAGTGTTGCTTCCCACGGAACCGTGCTGGCCACACATGCAAGCATGGCTTTATGCACACAGAGCATGGGACTGCAATTACATGGGACGACGCTTTACGTGCAAGCATGTCCTCCTACGAGACCAAGACCTACAACATCTTCACATGCAATTGCCTTTCCTTCGTTGCAAACTGCTTGAACAGGGCGTGCTATGCTGGATCGATGGACTGGAACATGCTACGCGTGGCTGCCCTCATTCTGTTCAAGGGCCACTGGATCGACTGGAAATCGGTCGTCAGATCATTCCTTCCTTTCGTGCTCGTGCTCTTCCTGGGTGTGTTGCTGGTGGGGTGGCCTTTTCTACTGGGTCTGCTCTCGTTTTTTCTCCTGCTCATTGGGTGGTATGTGATTTGTACATATTGTGTAAAGAATGTTTTGGAGTGCTAGAGGATGTTGTCGTTGTAAGTAAGCTGCAAAGTTCATATTGGATTAAGATCTGTTTGGCTGATCTTGTTCAGTTTGATGGCTGCAGCCTGCAAGCCTTTCTGTTCAAAGCTTCAGGATAATATTATTTAGGACTGAACAGCCGCCAAATGGATGAAGTTGCGCTTTAAATAAAAGTCTAGTCTCTGTTTTGGACGAATAAGCCAGTGTAGGAAAAAACGAGTACGGTTTTGCCAGAACAATGGAAAACAGTCATCAATCTCAATCCCTGAAAATCCTCCACCATTTCCAAGTCTCTCCTTCCCCGCCACCGTCCGCCGACGCCAACCTTCCGCTCACTTTCCTCGACTACCCATGGCTGCTCTGTCGCCCGATGCAGCGCCTCTTCTTCTACGAATCCCCGCTCTCAACTCTTCAATTCACCCAAACCATCCTCCCTCACCTCAAGACCTCCCTCTCCGCAGCCCTCCACCACTTCTTCCCTCTCGTCGGCCACCTAATCTCCCCCGCGCCGCCTCACCGCCCTTACCTCCGCTATTCAGACGGAGACTCTGTTCCCCTCACGGTGGCAGAGTCAGCCGGCGACTTCGACCAGATAATCACCAACGACCATCCAAGAGACGCCAGGGAGCTGCGCCCTTTCGTCCCTGAGATGCCGCGTTCTACTCTGGAGCCGGACGGCACGAAACTGGTGCCGCTATTGGCCGTTCAGATCACTCTGTTTCCGGGGAAAGGCGTCTGCGTCGGCTGCCAGTTCGCCCACGTGGCCACCGACGGGATGGGTTTCCACCACTTCGTCAAATTCTGGGCTTCTCTGTTTAGGTCGTTACATTCAGGGGAGAAAGAGGACAAGAAGAATACTTCTCCTACTGTTCCATCGCCGGCGAGAGACAGGGAATTGATCCGGGGAGCTTACCCGGGTCTGGAATCGGTTCTATTGAACCAGTGGTTCGAGTTCGGATCGTCGTGGGATTTCGATTCGGGTCCGACTCATTACCGAGACCTCTCCGATAAAGTCCGATCCACCTTCGTGATTACCCGGACGAACATCGAGAAGATGAAGCTCTGGGTCCGGGGGGAAAACCCGACGCCGTTTCGCCTCTCTGCTTTCGTGGTGACCACTGCTTTCGTTTGGGCCAATCTCGTAAAATCCCAGGCCGTCGGAGACTCGTCGGTCGGCGACGAACCCGACGCTCTCTACCGCCTCAGCTTCGTCGCCGATTGCCGGCAGCGGCTCCAGATCGAGTTGCCCCCTTCTTACTTGGGGAATTGCCTGGGGATTTATTACGTTTCGATGAAGAAAAGCGATGCGGTGGGGGAGCACGGATTCGCCGTGGCGGCGGAAGCGATTGGGAGGAAAGTGGAGGAGCTGGAGAGCGGCGGCGGCGGGCCGTTGAGAGGGGCGGAGAGGTGGGCGCCGGAGTGGAAGGCGCTGTCGGAGGAAGGCCGGCTGATTGCGATTGCTGGGTCGCCGAGATTGAAGGCGTACGAGACGGATTTCGGGTGGGGGAAGCCGAGGAAGAGCGAGGTTGTTCAGGTCGACTGTTCGCCGTCGGTGGCTCTGTGTGAGAGCTGCGACGGCGGCGGCGGAGTTGAGGTCGGATTGGCCATGGCGAGGAGTAAGATGGAGGTTTTCAGTGGCTTGTTTCATGATTTCATGGGTCAAATTGAAGAATTTCCGGCTTAACCTTCAACAATTTGAATTGTCTGAAATCAATTTCAGCAGTACATCCCACAAAAAACTTCCTTCACCCATTTCCTTTCTCCACTTATCAGAAGCTTTTAGCTGATGTCCATTTTGAAGAAAGAAAAACTACTAATTTAGTTGTTTTAGTTTATTTATTGTTCGATTATCCCAATGCTTAATTCGTAATCCGTCAATGTATTACAATTCGAACCGATAATACGATACGATGCAGCAATTCTTGTTTATGAACCTAAGTAGAAGAAGCAGTAGCGAGACTTGTCTAGCTGGGAAACTGAAATCGCCTATAATTAGCTCATCTAGAAACCCAGTTGCGGATCGCCTCTCATCCTAAAACGACGTCGTACGCGGAGATAGAAAATTACTTCTCTCTCCCTATAGCTACTGTGTTCCCTCTGCTCTTTTTTTCCACCTTTTCTACACGCAAACAAATTCCCTTTCTTTTTTCTTCCTTCCATTCAATCCCCAATCACTCCGCCACCGCAAACCCTAGACCTCCGATCACCCTCGCCATGGCGTCGAAGCAGATACTGACCCTCGCCCGGCGGTCGCATCACCGACCGCGGCCTTCTCCCGCCGCTCTATCCGCCGTCCGATCCTCTTCCTCCTCCGCGCTCGCCGAGTCCCGCGACTCCTCCTCCTCCCTCCCGTCCCCGCCGCCGCCGAACGCCATGATCTACGATCGCCTCGCCGAGTCAGTGAAGTCGAAGATCAAGCAGCTGGAGAATCCGGATCCCAGGTTCCTCAAGTACGGGTCGCCCCACCCGGTTCTGCGGACCCACACCCACATCCTCTCTGCACCGGAAACCCGGGTCACAACTCTCCCCAATGGCCTCCGCGTCGCCACCGAGTCGTCTCTCTCCGCCAAGACCGCGACGGTCGGTGTGTGGATTGATGCCGGGTCCAGATTCGAGACCGACGATACTAACGGGACCGCGCATTTTTTGGAGCATATGATATTCAAGGGGACTGAGAGGAGGTCCGCAAGGGAGCTGGAAGAGGAGATCGAGAACATGGGGGGACATTTGAATGCCTACACTAGCAGGGAGCAGACTACGTATTACGCCAAGGTTATGGATAAAGATGTGAATCAGGCGTTGGATATCTTGTCTGATATATTGCAGAATTCCAAGTTTGACGAGCACCGGATCGCCAGGGAGAGAGATGTGATTTTGAGAGAAATGGAGGAGGTATGTTAGTTGCTTTTGCTCCGTGTATTATTGTGGGATGGTAATGCTGTTTGCTTTTCATGTTAATTAGGCTATGGAACTTAAAAGGTTCAATTTTTTTAATAGATTAAGCTCTCTGGTTGATGCAACAGTAGATAAATATACGAGATGGGAATTGGCTTGCATATCCTGGTTTTTAGTGTTTGATTGCTAGCTCTGATTTAGTGGATATGTCATTTGTGGTTAAGGGGTATTGTGTACGGTTTTGGTGTTCTATTGTCTGAATTTGACAAGTTTGTTTTAAGTTGATGAATTCATTAAAGTGGATGTTATTTTACAAAGCAAGAAGCCTATCATATGAAGCTGTGGCATTTAATTTGCTCCACCATTGGCGTGGTTGGGGTTATTTAGGCTCCCATTCCTTTCCTGGGGTCATACTTATTATGCTTTTGATGTCTACCGTGCCTGAGCTTTAAAGATTCTGCTTTGTTGAATCTCCTATAGGTTGAAGGACAGACTGAAGAAGTCATCTTCGACCACTTGCATGCTACTGCTTTCCAGTATACCCCTTTGGGCCGCACCATTCTTGGCCCTGCTCAAAATATCAAGACAATTACCAGGGATCATCTACAGAGCTACATCCAGACACACTACACGGCTCCTCGAATGGTATTAAACATAAAAAAAAAATGGCTGTTCTTATTATTTATTGCTATACTAGAGTCAGCAGTACCAGAAAGATGGAAGCTTTGTGCTTTGTTGGAAGAACTGAACTCACTTTTAATATTTCCTTGTCCAGGTAATTGCTGCTTCTGGTGCTGTTAAACATGAAGAAATAGTTGATCAAGTGAAGAAGTTGTTTACCAACTTATCGTCTGATCCAACTACAGCTTCACAGTTGGTGTCAAAGGAACCTGCATTTTTCACTGGCTCTGAGGTAGAAAGATACTAGTTGCAAGTGTGTAATCCATCTTCAAGTGGTCTCTTCGGCCAATGGCTTGTCACTTCTTCTAATTATTATTTTGAAAACCAGGTTAGGATCATCGATGACGACCAACCTTTGGCACAATTTGCGGTTGCTTTTGAGGGTGCATCATGGACAGATCCAGATTCTATTGCCTTGATGGTAATGCAATCTATGCTAGGTTCATGGAACAAAAGTGCAGGTGGCGGCAAGCACATGGGGTAAGCATCCATGGGTTATCACTGCTGTATAGTGTGGGAATAGGGTCTTATGTTCAGAAACCTGGTGTTTAACAATACTATTGCCTGCAATCTTTTGAGGTATTGGTTACCATAACTTCTCTAAGTGCTATAATTGGAGTTATCATACCGATAAAATTCTCTAATACTTTCGCTATAGTGTTTGTCTTCATAGCAATCTTTATATTTTGTTAACTAGCTGTTGAAGGCTGGTGTTCATGTTGATATACTTGCATGGTTGTATTTGATCAAGTGCCCATCATATAAATTGTTACTTGCAAACAGATCGGAGCTGGCACAGAGGGTTGGCATAAATGAGCTTGCTGAAAGTGTGATGGCTTTCAACACCAACTACAAAGACACTGGCCTGTTTGGTGTTTATGCTGTGGCTAAGGTGAGATTACTCCTATTCTTTTTCTCATAGTTTCTTGTTTAAACTGTAATTAGACGAGGAAAGATAAAAATCTTCTGATGGAGAATCTATATGTTATCTTTAAGTAGTGAGATTAGATTTAGCTTTTTAAGAGGGAAGATGAAAGTCCCTCCTGTGCCATGTGTCATCCTTGGGTCACTGTTTGCTTTCTTGACGTTGAGATGACTGCTAAGATTTTAATCACCCAAATATGTAAAAATGCTGGGTTCTATAACGTAGCAGTATCGATATAGAATAGTTCTGGAGCTGTTCTAGGGGTTGCTTCTCTTTTGATGTATAGTTGTTTAGATTCATTCGACTTATTTTAGTTTTGTTATTTTCCAGCCTGAGGATTTGGATGATTTAACCTACGCAATAATGTACGAGATTGCGAAGCTGTCCTTCCGAGTTTCAGAAGATGATGTCACACGTGCTCGGAATCAGGTATTTACCATTGCTGGTGTTCAGATGGACTTTAGCTTTACACTGATTGTCATTTTACAATTGGTATTCTATATTTGGATGCTACAGTGTATAATATGTGATTTAGTTAACTATTAGTAAATGTTTTCCCCTTCAGGAACAAGGTCTATGACTTGATTTGAGCCTTTTAATTTGTCCATGAGTTGCTTAACTAGTATATTAGCTTGTTCATTTTCATGTTTATAATGGGCAAATATTGACTCGATAAACATTGCTTTCTGGATTTGCATGGTACTTGTTTTTTGAGGTTCCGGGCACCAATTCATTTCTATCTGTTTGACACTATTTTAATAGCTGAGTAGTTTATTCTTCCTGCTTTGGACTATATCCATTGTGCTTGTTTCTGACTACTATATTTGCTTGCAGTTGAAATCATCCTTGCTACTCCATATTGATGGGACTAGTCCTGTGGCAGAAGATATTGGGCGCCAGGTATACCTGTCCTATATGTTGAATATGAATTATGTTGTGTCGGCATACATATTAGCACTTAGATAGTCTAAACCACATTTTACAAGGATACATCTATAAACCATATTTGTAAAATATTTAGTGGCTCAGAACTCAGAAGTAGAATCATACTAAGTCACCAGCTTAACAAGGTTCCCGGTGGATTAAATGATCCAATCTGGTTTAGAATTTTCCAAGTATCATATTCTTGGCAGTCAGATAAACTGTGAGGTGTAGTTTTCATGATGCCCTAGGCTGCCTTGGTTCTTCATTTCTAGTGTGTATGCATTTTGTATATGGGTTCCAAGATTGGCCTTCGTACTTCTACAATTTTGTTATTTTCTAGCTTAAGTTTTTCGTATGCAAATAAGGCCTCAGCTTTTGTTGGTGATCCCTGATAAAGTCTCATGATTTCTATCGTTGCAGCTGCTTACTTACGGTCGCAGGATTCCATTTGCCGAGTTATTCGCCAGAATCGATGCTGTGGATGCAAGCACCATTAAACGTGTGGCAAACAGATTTATTTATGACAAGGTATGTACTGCGGGTAACCGTCCTTTGTGTTTTGTTCTTAGTTTAACTGGTAAAACCCATTCCATTCCAACGGATTTACAACTATTGGATCTTGTATGGACACAGGACGTTGCAATTGCTGCGATGGGTCCCATTCAAGGCTTGCGCGACTACAACTGGTTCAGACGTAGAACCTACTTCCTCCGCTACTAAATTTATTGTGGCAGCAGTTTTTGTGTCTCAACCACTGCGAGGCTGCAAAAGCAGAAAACAATTTTCTCAAACAAAGCAGTATTAGCTCCTGGAACGTCCTCTTGGAGCTTGCCTTGTTTAATTCGTTACTTTCCAGGCTTTCTTTCTCTTTCTGCCATTTGTAAACCAATTCTACAGCAATAAAATTGTGTTAGGTTTCAGATGGTTTGGCTGTGATGAGAATTGCTAGTCACAACTCACAAGAGATTTTGCTGATAAATTGTTGCAGTACCCAAATCTGCATTTTCTGCTTGTATAAAGCTGAAAACAAGCGGCTATCTTTACATCTTCTTCTTCACTAGTTGAGGGCTTCAGAAGCCTTTTAATCGAATAGTCGCGTATTGGAATCTATGAATTGGCCGTTATAATGTTTGTGATTGTTACTTTGTTTAGGTTTCGCTCGGGTGAGTGTCATGTGTTTTAATGTATCTGTTAGGAAATTTTGAGTCTGATGAAATTCGCCATGTAGTGTGATCTACATATCAAGATCAATGGGATGCCATTTACTCCATGGTTTCCATAACTATATTTAAAATCATTTAAGTTGCAGTATAGTTTCACAGATCACATTTCATCGAAGAAAATATGCATCCAAACTGCGAAACGTTCTTATTTTACCACTCCATCAAATTCTATATGACCTCTTTGGAGACACTGGCAAAGTTTATAGTCCCGCAGGGCAAGTTGTTCAGGATAATCAAGCTGCTAGTGAACATTCAATAAGAGGGTAACAAAGAAAACAGGCTAGACTCGCTCGAGACACCAAACTAGACCTCAATCAGACAAATGTTTGAGGCTAGACTGATTACATAAGAGTGATTGATTGTGCACACACTGGGGGGGAAAAACTGCTTACCCTCTGACAAAAGAATGTACAGAAAGCCAAAAATATTTTGTACATACTCTCATGGTCAGCTACTGTTAGTTCAGTTAAAAGTTAAAACATCTACTTCCCCAGCTGGTTACTCTGCGGACTCGGACTCTTCTTGATCCTCCAACTGCGCAGCTTCTTCTTTGTTCACTTCTCCACCTCCGCTCTCGTTACTCCGTTCGAAAAACAAGCCAAAAGATGACAAAACATCACCATCGTCATTGTCAACCTCATCATCCTCGTCATTTTCCTTGTCCTTCAATCTCGAGCTCGTCTCATTATCATCATCCATCCACTTTGGGCAACGTTCCTTGACACCCAAGGCGGCAGCAGCAGACTGAGCGTGTGAAGCTAGTGTTGAAGGGCTTGATGCATCATGGGATGCAGCCGATGCTTCTTCAGTATTGCCACTTCCAACGCAAGAACACTCAGGGACAGGATGCGAGAGGAATGACGAAGGTTTCGAGGCTACCGACGCATTCATAGCACCATCAAACAAGCTCTTCCTGAAATGCTGGCGAACTGATTTCAGCCACGTGTTGTTTGCTTCGTACAGGTGCTCACGATTCCCTTCCAGAAGCCTCACAACTTCTTTCCTGTAGTTCTCATGAAACGGAAGCGTGTGAACAAAAGAGAAATGAATAGGGTATGAAAGATATAGGTTCTATTTAAGCTATAAAAAGAAGTGACTTAAAATGCTGAAACAAACAAACTTCTTAACATTTTTCTTTGTTTCTTCTAAACTAAGAATTTACTTTTTTAGCAAAATTGACCATGTTCATTCATTTACCTGACTGGACGGAAGGTTTTGGAGGCAGCCGAAAGGTACAGCCTGTGGCCCATGACCAAGCTGGCAAAGTTTGGACGCCCTTTCCCATCACGATCAAATCCAGAGATAAAGACATCAGCTTCAACAGAAACCATGTAGTCTATTGCCTCCCATAGTAGTTTATGTGCATTGGTCCTCAACTCCATAACCGAGCTCTCTGGTTCATTGTCGCTCTCAGCCACCCATCCCCACCAACCTTCGATGTTATGTGGGTATTTAGGCCGGGCAGGAGGAGGTGGAAGAGGACGAGGACGTGGGCCTGCACTTCTCCAAACCTCAGCCTTCTTTACTTGCACAATAGAAGGCGGTGTCCTCGGAAATTGGCTATCGAGGTTGACCTCTCGCCCGTAAATCCTAGTTAGCTCCGATGATGCGGTCAGTGAAGTCCTGTCCACCACATTTTCAAACATTGCATGGAGAGGAGTCAGTGTCCTTTGGCCGCCAAATACTTCCCCTCCTGACACGTAGATAATGGTGTCCCATGGATAGCCATATGCACGAAGAAGAATACCAACCTGCAGAAAAAATGAATTAGTCAGATTCCTGCTTGTCATTTCCTTGTAATTCATTGACTAGAGAATGCCCATAGCCCCGAACCTCTTCTGGCATTAATGGACATGAGCCATTAAGGCGTTGTTCCTCGGAGTTAACCGAAAGTTTCCCCTTGACAATTCCACGTCTTCTCATCCATGCTCGCTTGTGTTGAATGAGTTCACTGTGCACATCCTTGGATAGAGCTCCAAGACAAAAGCAGATTCAAGGTCGGTACTTCTTTCTATAATAAGGTCTAAGTTCAACAGATGAGTGATGTTCTATTTTCAAGGTACCTGGAAGAGTTCGGCACAACCATAGTATGCCAAAGCTTCTCTAGTCATCCCAGGATCATAAGCAATAAATGGTCTCCCAGGAGCTCGCAATCTGTATGATCAAGGGTATCAAAAGAATCTTTTAATTTTTCTATATGTGTGCCTATAGAACAATATCATAAAACAAGCACCAAACTGTGAAGAATTATATGTCGTGGATCCTGTACCGACCTGTGCACAATTTTAGTTGCAAGCTCCTGAACCTCCTGTCGGAACACCAAGGCGTGGAAAGCTACTCGGCATCTCAGCCTCTGATATTCTTCGAGATGGGGAGGAAGGATAGCCTATGAAAAGAAGACAAAACTAGATTCAGCCGAAACCACTACTTCAAACTAGGAAAACAGATTTCAACTCACCACCATCTAACTTACCATTTTGTTCGAATAAAAAACAGAACAAGATTAATATTAATATAGAACTAACAGCAGGTCACTGACCTGCAAGCATCCACCATCAGATACAACAAGTTCAGCCACTGAATGCTTATTGAGCACTGGGAGGACATGGTGCAAGTAGTAATATGGAGAAGCAGATCGAGGCACTCTGAATGACGGGATCTCCTTCTTCCTCCTGGCGCTTTTGAGACTCTTCGGAAGGGTTTTTACTACTTTCACATCTTTTACTAACGCTGCCGTGAACTGGTCCTCGTTGTACACATACGCAAAACTCTTAAACTCTGAGCTGAAACAAAGATTACATGTTAGTTAATTAAGTCCTAACCATCAACAAGGTCAACTTTCACAACTCTTACTACCAGTTCGAAATCAACTCACCTGATCCCTTTGCTGCTTGTGGTTGACTGAATCTCTGGAATAACTAACGTTGCATTCAAAATCCGAGCAACGACAACTACATCCGATATCTAAAAACAAACGACATTATGTTAGATATCTCATAAACGACTGTAGAAAATGAGATTTAGAAGATAGACATGAAACGATATTAATGCTCACCGAACTCTTGATGTCATGGAAACCACCTTGTATCCTCACAAAGATATATCCACTTGATTCTGATCTGGGAACTTTTGTACACACATTTACAGCAGGAATCAAAATCTCAATTTTAAATGTACAGTAACAGACAAGTTAAGTAAAAATGCACAAACTTAACAGGGAAACAAGAACTTCCCATCAAGTTTTTTACCAAAAGAAAGACGATTCAAATCCAAAATTCAAATTCAGATCACTCTTCAACTACAACATTTGTGATCAGAACTTGAACACAGGCAATGCCATTGCAGTGGACCATTGAGTAAATCCTAATTTTCCAACAAAGCAAAAAAAACCATGCTAATTTAATACTTGATCGAAAGCGAAAGCTAACCTGAATAAGGTCCTCTGGGATTGGCAAAGGGATGCAAAGATTCAAGCTTCCTGACTGGACCCCAGAGCCTTCTGTAAGATGGGCCCTGCACCATTCCAGAGGAAAACCATAAAGCAAGCCCTTTTCGTTTACCCAAGCTAACTAATAAATAATAATCACTGATCCCAAAAATCGCACCCATCATTCCACCCAAAAGTTAGCATAAAGCAGATCTAAGAAGTGAATTACAGTTTTGTGGAACAGGGGAAGCTCAAAAACAGGGCGCCAAGAGAAAATGGTGATGGAAGAAGATGACTGGTAGTAGTAATCGGAGACGCCTGGGTCTGAGAATCTGGCGAGAGTGAAATGGAGAAAGAGAGAGAGAGCTGAGAGTATGAGTCCAACCAATCCAACCCATTTGAGCTTGGACTTCATTACCACTAACTTACTGTAGCTATTCGCTTCTCCCTTCATCCCCCGCCAAAGACCAGAACTTTCCCCCGAGTTGTTCGGTTTTTCTTTCCCCCGGGAACCGGAAAGGGAAAAGGGAAGGAGGAAGGAGAAATACAAGTCAAGACTCAAGAGTCAAGAGTAGAGAGCGAGAGAGTCTGTGGGGGTAATAATTTTGCTGCTGCAGTCTCTCTCGGGCCGTGTAGTGTTTGGGTCGTGGTGGGTTTCTAGTGAGAGAAAGAAAAGATCAGACATGCCATTGTTGTCATTAAAGATTCTGCAGCCTTCTGTTCCACCCACTCTCACCTTTTTCCTGCGTTCCCACCACGCTCCCAGATGGGGGTAAATTATACAGGTGATCACTGAAGTAGTCAGTTTATTCCATTTTGCACCTGTAAATAAAAGTAATTTAGTTGTCAATTTGTCATCAATGTGGATCCCTCCGACGCCCAAGTTAGTAAAGGGAGAGATTATTTCCCGTAGCAGTATGGCCGACTGGATGAGAGTGTCAGTGATCTCAAATTGCAGGTTTAGATGTTGTGGCCTTGGAGTGTATGTCGGTTATGGTGTTGGTAAGTATTTTTATCCAATTTTAAAGTGATGTAAGGAAGATTATATCGATAAGGCACCGCTACGCACCAACAAACAATGCACTATCACTTTGTTCGCGATCGAGTTGAGAAGAACTTTTATCCCGATTCAACATGTTGTTGTCTCCTCCGCTCAACTCGTCGATTTGCTCACCGGCAAAACATGCCACCGGTTCAACTTGCGCTTATTCGCTATCTAGTGGAGTAATAGAGATAACTTTCACTATATAGGGTTTGTGACTGTTGAAAAGCAAGCGGAAGACATGCAACCTCAACAAAAGCATCCACTTACTCGACGTTGAAGTTTCCTGTGAAGTGCACAAAGTCATTTCGACTTGGTCAGTTTAACTATTGAGTAGCCTAAAGGAAGTTTCTGAACAACTACAAAGAAACCCACATAAAGCAATCAAGGAGCCGCCACGAAGCCAGTCTCTAGCTTTCAACTTTCCAAGTCTTTTGTTTTCTGTGTCTTTTCTTGTCAAAGAGGTCAGCCGCGTTTGGAGCAAACAGATGCCAACACAAGTCCAAGGTCCTCCACTGTGAGCTTGGGGAGCAAGTAACTTCATCGATATATAAACACCAACTCACCATAGCCTATACATTCGCCAAGCCAGTTTCAACATATAATAACTAGCAAGGCAAGCAATCAAGAGAGATCGATATTCATACGAATTACGACGTCAGAAGTCTGAATTCGCAGCAGTAGTCCTACAAGTGATGAGTCCAAATTCATCAACAATCATGGGTTCTTCTAGCTTAAAACTTGGAAGCAGTACCATGGAGAAGGGAGGGATGAGGTGGAAGTGGCCCAAGGCTGCAGCAGCCATTCTACGGAAGTTGTTGCTATGGGCCAAGAAACCTGCTGCAGTAGCTGGGGATGCCGAAGTAGTAGAGGAAGTTTACAAGTACTCGAGCAAGGCAACCACCGGCCGAGCATTCAGGCCAGAGGCAGAAATGGTGGCAGCAGCTAAACATTTCTCCTCTGCCCATAAAATTCCGACCTGACATAGGATGCCAAAAGGGGTCCAAAACTAAAAACAACTAATTGCAATTCGCAAGAAACTAAAAGCATGAAAGTAAACCAGTGAAGGCATCATTCAGACTGTAGGAAGTCAGAATATTGAGAAGACACTACACATACAGCAATGATCATAATTACTTTAATATACTATAATTCTGCTTACATTTTAGCTCTGCACATGATCGTTCGTCCATGTAAAGCAAAACAGTTTCTCGCAACCCCAGAACTCATCAATGTACAGAGCACTTAACTGTGCTTGATTCATACACAAAAAACAGTGAACCTTTGCTGCTAAAAAAAATGTCATCAGGATCATGTTCTTGCATAAATTAATCAGCATCTAGGGTTACACTGAAAGTGGCCTGTACCAAGGTTGATTCAATCACTAGGTGTGCTGCAGTGCAATATATGAAGTTTGCTCAAGTGAAGTCGATCACAAACAAAGACGAAAATTTGAAAATCATAATGACCGATTCAGTGAGGAGTATAAAACTGCAGATAAAAAATTCCCACCTCAATATATTGAAGCATCAAATCTAGGCTCATAAAAGCACACCTGGCTGTTATATGACTGGAGAGCACATCCAGCAATCCACGACCAAACCTTCTTATCCACATCATACAACAGACCCTTCCCTTGGTTCCATGATGTGAAACAAATCAAATTATCCTGACCAAAGCACTCAAATCTCTCAGCTGATAACCTTAGCAGTGCCCTGAAATACTTTGGTGGCATTCTACTAATTTCTACCCACATGTTTTTGGTGTGATCCAACTCCCAAATTCTCATACTCTGAAGAGTGCTATAAAGGCCGATTCTTCCAACCAAAAACAACCGTTGTTGAGTGCCAGCCACTAAGTATCCGTCCAACAGAGAGCGTGGAAACTTAGCAGGAATATGCTCCCAATAACCTTTGTCAAGACTATACATCATCAAACCGAGAGGAGAGAGAGTCTCGAGATACAACCTAGAGTCACAATAGGCCATCTTTGAAGAGCATAGATTAACTGCAGGCATTATCTGGTGAACCAACCATCTGTCCAGCTTTGAATCATAAACTTCAGTTGGCAAAGATTTATCACCAAAGATATCACTGGTAGCTATAACTTTGAAGGACCTATCTGAACGATCCACAACCAATATCAACTGCCTTTGGTGATTATAATGCATGCTAGGCAGTGTCCTCCAAGTTTGAGTAAGTGGATTACATACCAGAGTTTTGAAAGCTAACCCATCCAGCCCGGAGAAGCAAACGAGCCCACCAGAAGAACCAACCAACCAAAATGCCCACTGTGGCAGAAATGTGAACGGAACTCGATACCAGGTTTTCAAAGGCAGACTGAAAACAGAACACTGTGGAGTCTGAGAGTTCTTCCAAAATGTCAGAAGACAAGGACCATGAGAAGGCACCTGGGAGTGAAATTTAAGAAAGCTATTGTCTTGAAGAATTGCATTCCAACGTTTGCAAACCGAACGAAGGCGAAAGATCATGAATGGGGGAACTCTAGCTAGAATCTCATTCAAAAGATCCTCAGGCAACATGGCCCATATGTTGTCCTCCATCTGAACATCACAATGAATAGATTTCCCAAACGTAGAAGCAGTCTCTTCATCCAAACCGCGAGGTTTGGTCTTCACTACTTTTTGCCTTGAAGGGCTTGTATTCCTCAGCCCTACACGACCCATGGGGCTAGTATTCCTCGACTCACATATCCTAATCGGTGAAGCTTGCCTGGGGCAACAACCTTCATCACGATACTCATAGGTTATTACAGATCTAGGACTAGCCATTGCAGACACAGATTCAGACGACCCTCCTCCGATCTCATCCATGTCTAGTGATAGAAATAACAACCCTAATCCAGCCAGCTTCCAAGTTCGTGTCTTTCGACTTTCAATTCTCAATCTCAAATAAATCCTCGATTCTTCCTAGGCTAATGCATCAGAAACATCGAATACTTTGCATATACAAAACGATGCTAACAGCGATCGCTTAACTAACAACAGAAACCCATTACTCCATTCGACCACACAAATTGAAGCGAATCCAACACCTAGCAAAGAAAGTTGGCAAATCCATTTGGCTACCAAACGTACCGTGATAAGGAAAACCCAGAACCGAAAGTAACTATCTTTGGAGCAGATGAAGAGAGAAGAAAGTGTGGGCAAGGAAAGAGATTGGGAATGGGAACTGGAAAATGGAAACGACGGAGGAAGGCTGCAAGGTCTGTTGAACAGAAGATAAAATGGGTTGAGTTTACCCTTGGAAATTGGAATTCGAAGAAGTTATCCTGTTTTGTGGCAGGACTTGGGAACAGCTTGACAGAACTGCAGGGGAGTGAAATTCCTTCTGGCAAAGATGAAATAAACAAATGGCCAGCGAGAATAATTAAACCCAACCTAACCTGAAACCTCCCCTCCCTCCCTCTCTCTCAACGAGGAAATTTTTTTAAGGAAGGAATTGGGTGTGTTTGTTATTTTTCAAACCATTTTTCCAACTAAAGGTCAAGTTTTGCTAAAAGAAAATATGTTTGAAGAGAAAATCTTTAAGCTTCCTATCGAAAGAATTTCTGTGGAAATGTATTCTGAATATCATTGTACGTATTGGCAACATTTGCAAAGAAAGGATGCATTTTGGATGTGGAACAATGATTATACCTCAGTCGGTGAAGTTTTACATGGCCTCAATTTGACATGAAAAATAAGTGTATATTGGCCATTACAAATGAGTTTTGGTACAACAAATTCATTTGGTTTACATTTATATTGTTTTATATGAAATATTATATGATATTCATCTCATTCATATCAACCAAAAAAATAACTATGTAGTAATATGATCAATTCAACTAAGCTCATATTTCACCATTATGTTGCCGTACTTTTGCTAATCCATATGCATGTTTACCATATTGGCTTTGTACAACGTAGTTGGAGTCATTATCAGTCGCTAATGTTGAGAATCTTTATATATTGGCGCTAATAGATCATTTACATAGTTTCTGTTCTCCTCCCTTATACTGCAACATCATCAATTTCATTTTGTGGTAGTCTTGCCTTTCAAAACATCATAAAAAGTTATTTGAGTTCGTCAAATTATTATATGAACCAAGATTAAGATGATGTATAAATATTGGTTATTCACTGTCATCAACTATTATATATTGTCATTGACTGACTTTACTAGTTTGTTATGGACTCTTATTAATGTTTAAATTATAAATTACGAACCCATCCCACAACCATACCGACCTAAATACTATCAAAATTGATAAGTATTTCATATTCTCATGGTTGGTTTCAATTACATTTTATCTAAACCGAGCATCATTGATTAATTCGTTGAGATGGTGAGATTCAACCTATCCAATCCCCATGTACACACCTATGACCTAGCTTTGAGTGTACACTATAACTTTCACCAAGGTTGAATTATAAAATATTCTAGTGATGAGACATTGAGGCTTCTAGCTCTTAACATAGTGTAGGGTACACCATGAATGTTTGTGTAGCAAACTTTAAAGTGTGTTTTGGTTGCCAATTTAGTTGTTATATTATCACTTCCTTGTAAACCAATAAAGTGATCCTAGTATTTTTGTACTATCAAGAAATTTTTCATGAGGTCTCATAAATTATTATCAACTCTCCCAAACTCATATCGTTTAAGGACATCTCGACAATTGAAATATTGTACCTAATATAACGATTTGCAATCATACACTTCTCTCTTTCTAGTGGCCTTCTAGTAGAAGAACAAATTGTGTCCCCTTTACGATGGACCGTAATCCCGGTTTGTAATTATAGCCAGCAACGGCCCACGGGCCCTTTGCCAGCGAAAGCCCACAGCGCGAGAAGTGACTGAAATGATTTCCCGTTTTAATTAATTAAATAAATTTTCACCTTTTATTATATTTCCACTCTATGAACATTCGCCTAGGGATGGTAATGGGTAGGGTTGGGTGCGGGTTTACCCTATACCAACTCCTAACCCGCCGGGTAGAGCTTTCTAAAATACCCGACCAAATAACCACCGGGTATAAAAATTATATAACCATACCCTACCTACCGGGTAACCACGGGTATTCGGGTAATCATGGGTACGAATCCTAAACTATGAACTTATACACATATATGCACATACATACTGTTGTCCATTAAAAATTCTCAATATTTGTAACTATTCTAGCTTCAACAATCCACACAAATAAAAACAGCAAACACATAATAATTGTTCTTGCTTCTACAATCCACACAAACATAATAATCGTCTACATCTTCATCATTAATAATGGTAGCTAAACTCAATTTCTCAAGCTAAAATAAATTTCTCAAGGGAAATTGACCCTTTGGTTAGCGGGGCGGGTATTATCGATTACCATACCCGTACCCTACCCTTTATTTTGAAACCGGGTTATACCCGTACCCGCCCTTTAACCCGTCAAAGCGGGTAATTACCCTCGTTGACCGGTTACGATCGGGTAGGGTACCCATGATTACGGGTTGGATTGACATCCCTACATTCGCCAATCGTCGCCAGTCAGTCGTCCCTGTCGCCGTCGCTCCTCGGTCGGATATCTCATAGCGCGCGCCCCCCTTTTATTTGTTTTCGTCTCTTCTGTTTCAATCCTTTTCCAGTCTCCCTCTTCTTCTTCAATTCTCCCTTTCGCCTTCCAATCTTGACCGCTTCAGAACAAAAACCCAACTCGCAGACCAGATGGCGAGTTAACGAATCGTCCCCGCCACAACAACACTGATCGCCGGTTCTCTCAGGTATGAATCGCCGGCTTCTCTCTCCCAGCTTTTTTTGAGAGACCCACTTGGCAATTACCACTTCTGGTTTCTGGGTTTCCATTAGTTTTTACAGAGACGACCCATCATCAATACGATTCCTGAATTAGGTGTTTACTTTTCCACCCAACCATCTGCGTCATCATAATGAAAATTGGAAACCCACTTGAATTAGTAGATGTAGATCTTGCGGAGCTGTGGCGATCATCTCAAGGAGAAGAAGAGTTTAAGCTCTCGCTTCGATCTGATCATCTTCTTGGGTTGATTACAGGAGGAGACTCGAGTAGCTGCTTTCTTCTTCAGAATCAAGTCCCAAGATGTGGTTACTGAGCAGCCGTAGCTCAACGAAGAATGGTATCTAAAGGGGACTTGATTGCTATTGGAGTGTCTGTAGGTTTGGGGCTTGGTGTAGTTATAGCAGTGCTTCTGTTCGTCCTCGTGAGGTGGCAGAAGAAGCGGGCTGACGTTCGTGGCCGAAGTTTAGCCAACGAGCAGCGGAGTCCGACCTCGTCTGCGCCCATACGAGTCAATGGTGTGGACGCGTCGACTGATTTCAGCGCCTCGATAACGATACGCGAGCCCCAGCTCGCTCACAAGGTTCCTAGCCCTCATTCGTCTTGGTGGGGTCGGCCCAGCAAAGACCATTTCGTATCGGCTTCTGGGGTGCTTCGATACTCTTACAAGTGAGTGTCTCTTTGCAAAGTCTTATCGCACTCTCTCAGCAGTGGGAGATGGAGAATGCTATGATTTCGATGATGAATGTTGTTGTTTTTTATGCAGGGATATCCAGAAAGCGACGCAGAATTTCACGACGACAGTGGGGCAGGGTTCGTTTGGAGTGGTGTATAAGGCGGTCCTGAATTCTGGAGACACTTATGCTGTGAAAGTGCTTGCCTCGGATTCCAGGCAGGGGGAGAAGGAGTTCCAGACAGAGGTAGGCGAATGTGCTTGATTCGCAATGTATTCGTAAATTTGTTCATTACTTTCGCCAATATCACTCTCCCAAACACGACCCCTACTAAAACGAACTCGTAAACTAGAAGTCTTAAGATAGCAATTTACCTCGTGCTTCGGAAAATCTTGTGCTTAGCTGCGAGTTATTGAGCTTGGTTATCTTGCTTGCAGGTTTGTCTTCTTGGGAGGCTGCATCACCGAAATCTAGTGAATCTGATTGGATACTGTGTAGATAAGGGGCAACGAATGCTGATCTATGAGTTCATGAGTAATGGCAGCCTGGCAAACCTTCTATACAGTAAGGGCAAACTATGCTTCAAATAGAAGCCATACACAGAGGATTGCGGCTTCAAGTCAGATTCTCGCACTCGTTACACTGTTGTTCACTTGACTTAACTGCTTCGCAGATAATGATGCAATCATTCTGAGCTGGGAAGACAGGGTCCAAATCGCTCTGGATATTTCACATGGCATTGAGTATCTTCATGAAGGGGTAAACTTCATCATCTCCCTATTGTTCAATGAAGGAACTTGTGGTCTCATTGATCCCACCTTTCAAAACAGGCGGTCCCAGCTGTCATACATCGCGATTTGAAGTCTGCTAACATATTGTTGGACCTATCAATGAGAGCTAAGGTAAGCAAAGTCCTCTACAACCTAAGTTTCAGAGATTAAGAAGAGTGGCTAGTCGCTGTGGCTTGTATCTGTTACCCAGTGATTTCTGCCTATTGCTATGTACTTGTGAATTTTAGGTGGCTGATTTCGGTCTGTCCAAGGAAGATGCATTTGACGAACGTAACTCCGGTCTCAAGGGAACTTATGGCTACATAGACCCGGTGTACATAGCAACAAACCGGTTCACTACGAAGAGCGACATCTACAGTTTTGGCGTTATCATCTTTGAACTTATTACCGGCATCCATCCCCATCAGAACCTTATGGAATACATCAATCTTGTAAGTCCTGCAAAAAAGCTTTCTTATGGATTCCCCTGAAGCTATATGGCTAACACCCTAAATTCTATGCTGTTTATATTTTCTTGTCTCCCAAGGCTGGAATGAGTTCAGATGGGGTCGATGAAATAATCGACGGGAAACTGGTGGGTAAATGCGAGATTCAAGAAGCGAGGGAGCTAGCAAAAATTGGTCACAGATGCTTGCATAAATTCCAAAGAAAGCGGCCAACAATAGGTGAAGTTTCACAGGGTATATTGAAGATAAGACAACGTCGCCATGTCAGGCAAGATACCATGTCCACACAAGCAAGTTTCTCCAGAGTTCTAAGCAGGATACAGAGTCAACATATAGAATTGAGTAGAATAGCCAGCATGAAAGAGGATGCTCCATAATCTTACTTTTTTTTTTTTTTTTGTGTGGCTCTCTCCTTTTCTTCTTCCACTTCTTTACTGGCTTGCCCAATTTTTTGTGCTATTTCAAGGTCTCACTTATTTAGTTCCTAACTGAGACCAGATAATAGAGTATATACTATATCCTCAACTCCATTTTTGCTAACTCGTTGATAGTTTCATCGTGTTCAAATTTAAGAATACAAAATCTTTAGATCATTACTGTGACTTGATTCCTTTCTTTAAGGCTTTAAGCCCTACAATTTGTTGGTTGCTGGAATAGATCACATCCAACAAATTGGTTCATATGAACATCGATACTTGTTCGTCAAGGAACAAGGACTCAGGAAATCTCTTAAGGTGGAATCTCTCTAACACAACGATTAAGACTGATTGTCCTACTGTAACCAAATTGCCATACTTCATTGCTACTCTTAACAACAGCACACGGCAAGGCATCATCAAGGAAATATAATAATGGTATGCTCCAGAAGGAGCAGAACACAACGAACACGACAGTTCCTGTGTTTTTTTCCATTTATTACTACAATCAGTAACATCTAAGCTGCTGCAAATTGATCATCCCTTACAAGGATTATTTACTCATTTGCAGCAAAAGAAAAAAACATCAGGAACCTTTCTATACATTATGTCTTATTAGTTCCTGTGTTTTCCACTTTTATTACAATCAAATGCCTAGAATAGCAGATTTGTAGCAGTCTAAGCAAAAAGCAGAACCAGAGAGTGGGGAAATAGTAAAAAAGGGGAAAGACAAAAAGAAGGTAAAAAATGCATATTTGATATTACACAGGGAGGAACAAAAAAGTAGTTCTCACCTCAGCAGCTTGTGATATACTTCCAGCTCAAAGGCTTGGAGATACTGCCAAGCTACATATTCCGAAGCTGGGTCAAAACTGGCACGAGGTTCCTAACCTCTGTCTGTGGTTTCTCGGACCTTGCTTTCCTGCTGGTTCACGGTTTTCAAAAGCAGGGTACAGTAACTTCTGGAAAATGTCGAGAAACTGTGTCCACTCCCCTTCACTCAGCTCAGAAAGCTTCACAAAGCTGCAGCTCGAAGGAAGCTGTTCGTTGACACTCCTGTTCCCAGACGATACCCCAGCCATACACCCGAGTTTCTCCATTGCAATCTCGCGCCTCCAGCTCTTCTCACCTAGACTCATGTTCTTTAACAACATCGACCTTTTAGCCAAGGTCGTAGTCATGGCTGCGATTTCACCAGCATCGGGGTCAGTATTAATATCTACAACTACAGTAGTAGTTAGCCCATCCTCCTCTCCCTCTTCAAGACTCTCCTCTAGCTTGGAAAGTAGGTTCCGGACGTTCCTGCACCCAAATGAAACCGTTCTTGAATCTTTATCCAACATTTTTAACGGGGGCCCATCTAGTTTGGCCTCACAGTCAATGTCAAATTGGAAATCCTCGTTACTATCTCCTGCATTCTTCACGTCAGAAGAAGGGGATGATGATCTTGACTCTTCTACTCGACTTCTTGCCTCCATGCATATGAGCTCAAACTCACTAGGTTCCTCTTCCGGACCGCAGAACTCCCTACTCATCATTTCTCCAATCTCCCCCAGGCACAGACCGAAACCTGCGGCTTGCTTCAGGAAAATTGTGCAAACGACTAGAATCCTGAGGCACGCCTCTCTAATCATCGGCAGCTCCCTCCTCAACATGTCAGCATCTCGACATGGGTCGAGACTGTTTATGTACTCGAGCTCGTCGTCGGAGAATGGTAATGAAGCTTGTGGCCAGTTTATCCACTCGAAATATGGGTTCTCCAAGTCTTCTGGAAGGCATAGTCCATGATCAATGGGGACAAGGTCAACTTGTCCAAACCTTCCAATCCCATCCAGCTTCCTAACCAGAAGATTCCCTGCATGCCTGTCGGTATTCAAGATTCTCACGTCTAAGATTCCTATCCTATGCACAGCAGCAACCGGGAAACTCGAAGTCCCATGGTCACTGGCATCAAAATCATGAGGTATGTACTTCTGAAGCGATGCAATCTTGCTAACCTGCTTCTTCGGGTGTCGATGTTGCTTGCCCTGATTCATTCCATCGTTGATGTTGAAAATAGAATGCGTCACCTTTACAAGGACTGTGGGAGGCACATTGGCAAAGTGATCACGATCGAGAAGGTAAGCTGCCACTTCTCTGAACCCCGTTTCACCAACCCGTACTGAACGTTTCAGGCCCGGCTGACCGAGGGCTTTCCCAACAAACCCTTTTGGGTTGTTGGGGGCATAAGGTTCTTCATCTGTGGGTTTCACAATGGCCATATTCTCATATTGGCAATTTTTGAAATAGTATGCACCTCCAAGGCCGCCATGAGTGGGGGTTGGATCGACACCGTTTCTCATTGCTTTTGTGATTTCCCTCACTAACGGCTTTACTACAGCAAAGTGATCTGAAAATCCAAGTATCTCAACTGGGCTGCTCTTGTCACTCTGCTGAAGATGATCCTTTGCACGTGGCAAAAGACATGGAGTCGATGAGCTTCTGTGCATGAAGTTCCTTGTGAGGAGAAGTGGAGAACAGTTTCTAACTTCACTCAGATCATTTTTCAGTATTACATCGCCAAATATCAAAGATCTCTCCTCGGTTGGGACGTTAAGGGCAAGCTGTAACTTCCTCTTCACAGTGTGGGCGTTGTCACTCCCATCTAATTCAATTCCCAAAACAAATCCTGTTTCAGTTTGTACGAATACACGCCGCCTCCTTGGAGAAGGTTTTCTCGCTTCAATTAGTTTACTTCCACCATACTCACTTGCTGGAAAGTGTCCTTTCAAAGTTGCAACTGCCATATCTCTCTATATGTACAGATTTAGCTCGAGATCAGAAAACGTTGAAGAAGGTCAAAGAGAAGAAGCTGTACAATTCAGAGCCAGCAGCAGAGATGGCGGCGGCAGAGAGCTTTTCTCTCAAGCAGACACCATGCTTGAATGCCAGCAATAAACAACTAGAATTCTTTGTACCGGACATAACCATGATCAAAGTAGCTTGCCGAAATTTACTCTTGTAGTTATCAGGTTGGAATGGTTGCAGCTATGAAATAGATCTGGAGAAACTGCAATGCTGTTGGACAATCCATGCGGCAATCCTGGCTAATCAAATCAAACATGTTAAATGCCTATCAGAAGTATCACAAACCACACTGAAGAAGCTGGGCATAAGAAAAAAACTATGTCAAACAACCTAACTAGAGTGAACTTTGACATCCTTCCTCTACTCGATCAACCGTGAACCACATCCAAGGATATTAACTACGACAGAGGCATAATGAATCCAATATCGATTCAAGAACATTGCCGCATCATCCATCAGTCACTGGATCCACAGAAATGCCTGCGTCCCAAGTTGATTGAACAAACAACGGACCGGGAAACAAAATGACGGTAATATTGTAGCACAAACATCGCATCAGAAAGAATTACCGAATAAAGTCGTTCTACAAATCCACGAAAACAGTGAAGCGAGTAACATTCAGCGATACAGATGATGAGGACGATTCAAATCAATTACATCCGTCCGTACGCAACGCACAAAATCCAAAACACCAATGACCTACTTCACACTCATCCGTTCATTTCTTCTGATGAGATCAATCATTCGTATTACAGTCATCGTACGCAAATAGCTACCGGTGGAAGAACGAGCCAAACAAATTCAGAACTGACGCGGAACAGGCGTTCACAAAGATTTCCTCGTTTCCCGCCACAAAAAATGCTCGAGAATTGGATCACAATCTCGTAAACGAAACCGTAGAAACAAACGAAGAGCGCGGCCGCGGATTCAGAACGAACAAATCAATTGATGGACGAGAGAGAGAGAGAGGTTCAGAGGCTCACCGGGGAACAGAAGAAGCGACATGATGACGGAGATTCGGAGCAGTGACGGCGGAGACGCGAGGGAGAGCAGCCACCGCCGTTAGGACGAGGGACGGAGGCGGAAGGGGGAAGGGAAACGGAAGCAGAAGCGGAAGCACAAATGGAGGAGGAGGGCGGGGGGCAACGCTGCTGGTGGAATGGGAAGGGGAACGAAGGAAGAAGAAATGCAATTTTGGTTTTAAGAATTAATTCCCCTCTTCTCTCGCAGTTTCACTCGCTTGTTTTCCCGCACCCTCCTTTCTTCTCCCGCTTCGGAGATCTTTTATCCCAACTTCCTTTTCCGGAGAAGCGGAGACCTCCCCCTAACGGAAATAACTCTTTCCCTTTTTCTTTTATTAATTAATTTCGTATTTCTTTTCGTTTATATATGTTTCGTTTATTTTGGGATATGATAATTTTTTCCCACCCATTTCTTTTGTTAGTTATTTTGTCCATTCACAACAAATTTCAAGAGTATATTTCAACCAGAAGCCAGATTAGAGTAGAAATTGATTCGGACGGTCGTTATTTCATTTCATGAGATTCATTCAAAATCTAAAACGGTAAATCTTAAAATCTCAAAATATGTCGAAGTTAAATAACACAAAATCGTATAGAAAGAAGAAGTTTTATATATGAATATCGATAATTTAGAGGGAAAAAATGATTTCTCACAAAATATAAACCAGATGCCTAGCATACTGTGCAACGAGGTACATAGTTCCCCTCTTTCTCTATGATTGCCTCCTTCGGTTGGAAGAATCCCCATAATTTGCCAAACAAAAAAATTAAGCGTTGAGGGAATATGAAACCCCCCCACATAGGGGTGGGAATTCGGTTGCTATTTTGCGATTAAACCACAAACTGCACCAAAACCGCGCGGTTAGTGGTTAACCACAAATCGAAAAAATAGGGTATTTTGTGGTCGCGGCTAGCAATATTGCACGTTTTGCGGTTTGCGGGTTAATCGCAACCAGAACCGAACAACATGTAATTACATTTTAACCCATTACTAATGCGGTTACCTGCAATTAGTACGGTTAACCGTGACACGATCTTAGACCAAAATGTCCTTAAACTGTAAGAATAGTTAGTAACATGGTTAACCATTAACCGCACTTTGCGATTAGTGGTTAACAGCAAACCGTTTGCGGTGCGGTCACGGTTGACGTAAATGGCTACTGTTTGAGTCTAACTGAGTGTAGGAGTGAGACTCTGCGGAGGTGGGGAGAGTAGAATTAGCAAGGTGAGTTTGCAATCAGTCAATGACGAAGAGTAGAGAAGGGGAAGGAGGTTGAGAGAATAAGATTCTTAGAGAGATAAGTTGTTGTAT